CAGTATGTGGTGGAAAGAAGGAACAAGACAGGGGACCTGATAAAACGAGGTGGCATTCACACCTACCTGATCGGCAGACACTTTGACGACCTTCTTGTCACTGTAGTGCCACCACTGGTTGGTAAAGAGGTTACGGCAGATGGCTGTGTAATGGCCGGAATCCAGCTGACCCTTGTGGTTGCAAACGGCTACGAGGTCGTAAGGGGGCAGGGAAGGACGGTTCTGTGGTCTTTTAAACCGATCAAACAAAGCTAGGCGGATGAAGAAGGACAGATAAAAGTTCAGTAACTGTGCGCTCGACGCCCGATTTCTGAAACTAGTGATGACTAGTCCGTTGTAATCAACAACTGTCGCTATTGCCGAGAGCGAACAGTGCAGGAAAATAGGCCAGCGTCACACCAACCGCACCTTCCCTACAATGGGCCCATGGTTAGCCCCTGTCAAAATGACTAACTTTCAGGTGAGATGTACACTAGTAAGAGCCTGGAACCCCGATCCTTGCCTTTTTTCTCAAAAGGCAATGCTCAAGGTCTTCAACACCAGTTTAAATGGTTTATTTTGAAGGAAATACTGCGACCTGCTAATTACAAGTCTAACGCCCCGACAAAAGGGCCACGACTCGCTGTCTCGCCGTCAATGTCTCTGTTGTTGCACGGCCTATGCATTAGGATGACGATGATCAAAATGTTTGTTTGCTGAAGTTTTAAAACTGCCTCATAAGATGGTCACCTGTGCCGCAATTTCCCGGAGTAGATAGGAGGAATCCTCATTACTGGATCTAGCGACAGCTGTCTATACAGACAACTGCAACACAATTTAGCTTATCGGGTTATCGTGGAACAGCTTGGTAGTCCAGGAGAGCTCAGTATGGAAGAGCTAAAGTCAGTTTCCTAGAAGGTCCTCGATGAAGGTCGTTTCACTATCTGCCCTCCATGTACAACGACAGCCAAAATTACACATTTCTTCCTCGCTTTGTGTCAGTTGTTTGCTGAAGTAATTGAGGCTATAAGGGCAGCCAGCAAAAGTAGTATTTACGATCGATCGACAATCGCAGCAAACGCAAATCTACAAGAGATATTTTTGGTATTTAGTTTACAACAGAGAATTGGTCACACTTCGAGATAAACGCCTTGATTGGTAGAACCAAAATCATATCCGAATAGGCGCCAAATAGTTCTACACTTAAGAGCCTGGCCAGAGAAACAAAAAACATGCTTACTGATTCTGAAACTCAGAAATTAAGGAACATTTCTGTGCACTTTCCAAGACAATTCCTGTTCGAATTTTCTGGAGGTCAGAATAAGGCGTCTAGTTTGACATTGTGAGATTGTGTAAAACAATCAGCATAAAAAAGTCTCAAGGCAGAAAAATTTGCACATTGCAAACCACAAAAAATGGAATATTGGTCAAATTGAAAGGCATCACTGCGTGAGCTTTCCAATAGCCTTCCGAACCAAGAATCAGGGAGCAGGCCAGAGCATAGGTATG